AAGATAGAATTTTGGCTGGCTTGATTTTGTATAGACCTTCCGCCGGCAGGAAACCCATGCTATATCTGCACTTATGAGTGCAATAGCCATGGGCTATGCAGAAGATGGCATTTCCCACATCCCTCCTCATCTGACTTTATCGTCTCCCCGCCCCATTCTCTACAAGGTTTCCTGAGCTTTGTGGTGGTGGCTCTGGAACTCCCGTGTCAGCTCTGATCTGTTATGAGTCTATGAAGTAACTGCTGACCATTGTAAAAAAAGAAAACAAAAGCTTCTATGCCCAAGGATAGGAGTAACATTAACCTATAGCTGTCAACAGATATATCGAGATGGACCGGCTATAGATTTTAAGTTAATTTTACATTTTCCAAAAACTTCTGTCTTCTCTCTTTTCAAACACTTATTTATGGACTACCACAACTTCATTTTTTTAAAACAAGTCTGTGATTCCTCCCAAATCAGAGTCTTAAAACAACAACAACAAAATGCTTTTAGAATAAGATCATCACTGCCACCCACCCTCAGCTTAGTCATTAGCCTCTAAGATTCATATGCAGCATTTTCTTACAGAACAAAGCGATACATATACTGATCAAGTTATAGTCAGTAGAGATAAAGTTAATATATAAGAAATCTCACTGATAAATTGGGGGTTTGGGGTTTATTACTTGAATTCTAGAAACCTATGAGAATGTCTTCCCAATTTCTGGAAGTACAAGAAGGAAACATACAAAGCAGGAGAGGCCCCAAAATGTAGAGTAACATCCACAAACCAGCCTCTCCATATCCTTGTTGGCACCCATAGCATCATAACAGAAATAGTCCATGGGGCATGCACAGAAGAGCAAGAAAGCCAGCTAGACAGAGTCCTGTGGAAACAGAACTGCTGTCACAAGCAAGAGCAATGAATATCCATAAATTTTCCTAGCTGTAAACCCCCAAGCAAAAGTGCTTGCTATAGGTCTAGAAAGACAGCTCAATGATTAAGATCTCTTCCGGCTCTTTCAGAGGACCTGAGTTCAGTTCCTAGTATCCATCCATATCAGGAGGTTCATAACTGCCTGTAACTCCATTCCAGGGAGATCCAAAATATCTGTCCTTTGCAGGCACCTGTACTCACGTGCACATACACACACAAAGATATACTCACCTACACAAAATTAAAATAGTGATAACACGGCTTTTTGTTTATTTATTGTATATATATATCAGATTTTGCCTGCATGTATGTCAGAGGACTATATGCATGCCTGGTGCCTACAGTGATCAGAAGAGGGTTACAGATAATTGTGAGCCTCCATGTAGGTGCTGAAAATTGAACTCAGATCCCCTGGAAGGGCATTCGGTGTTCGTAACCATCAGAGTCGCCTCTCTAGCTCCGTAATAAAATAAAAATTATTTAAAAGTCTAGATATGCTGGCAGCAACTTGAAGAATAAACAGGCAGTGAAGATTTGTAGGAAGCCACTTGACAGCTTCACATGTGTATCAGTCTAAGAATCTCTTGTGTAAAGTGTCTGGTTGGTTCCATCTGCAGCTGCTCCTGGAGATAGCAAACTCATTTGGATGACTTTGTGGCTTTCTCCGGTTCTGCACCTCAGCGCATCCAGTAACAACTAGCTGTGTTTACATCACATCTGTAAGGCAGAGGAAAACTGATATTATGAGTCTTCACTGAGTAACAAAAAGGACACAGATTTAAGCATTGCTACTCCACTTACTAAACGTTTTCTGATTCTGGGAACATCTCACTCTAGCAAAAAAAAAAAAAAAAAAAGCCTTAAAAGTAGACCCAGTAAAGGACAAATGTGTCAGTATTTGCTCTAATCTAGCTTGTTCCTCCTCCTCAGGTTCTAAAATCAAAGTCCGTCTTCCAAAGAACATGGAAGCCTGCTCTTGGGTGTTGATGAGTCTTGGGTGGTTTGGAAAAGAACAAAGTCACAGTTAGCTCAGGTCACCAACACTGAGCTGAAGTTTGTAGGATTTGGATCTCCATATGCCTTCAATTTTGACAGTTAATAAAATGTTAAATTTCTGTGTTTCTGGTCACTAAAAGATAATGGATAATATAAAGGTCTCTCACCTCTCTGCAAAGAATTCTTTCCCTGAATATACAAGACTAATGAACAAGAAGTCCAATGGCATTTTTGAATAAAAAAAAAGTAAATCATAAATGCTTATCACCACAGTTTATTTCCAAATACTAAAGATCCTAGGTCCTATAAAATAAGCATTAGGAAGAATATTGTACAACAAATACCACCATGTTTGTTCATCACCACTGAGTTGAGAGTAGATGTCACACAAGTAACTGGCAGTAAAGACCTACCAATACAAAAACAAACAAAAAATCTGGTATGCAAGATATATTCACCTTAGCCACCACTTACCAAAACCAAAGATCACAAAGCATCCACAACAAAGTCAAATTACAAGCCTCCCCTCTGGATGCAATGGCTCCTATTCAGTTCCTATAGCCATACACAAATATATGATAAAAGTTTTATCATATAAAAAATGAAAAGCTAAAACCTAGGCAATGAAAAGCTAAAGGAACTCAGCATTGATCCCTGGGCTTTATTGGACTATGTAAGGACCCGTATTCCAATAGCAGAGCTGCAAACACTTAGGCGCCTGTCAGTAATTGAGCAAGGTCCACATGCTTACAGATTGCAATAGGGAAACCAGAATTGCTAACACATGCGGGCTTTGTTCTTCAATAGAAGAGATGTACATACCTATTTTCCATAGATAAGGCTGGGAATGGATTTATTAATAACCCAATAATCTTTGCTATTTTGTGGATCTAGGCCTCACCCAAATCCCCTTTTTCCTGGGTATTGCTTCTTGCTTGGTAGAACCCATTCTTGTGGAAGAGGTCACAGGTACTTTGCAAAGGAGTTTCAGTGTAGCCATGCCCTAAGCTTCATTGTGACAATCGTCAGAAGAAAACCATTTTTCAAAGTTGTACTATGTTTAAATATGTGAAAAAAATCAACTTCAGAAGTTTGAACCAGCCTGGCTAACTAAGCCATGCTGAACCAGATTTCCTCCTTGCCTCTTTTGATTCATTTCCTTTGCAGTCACAGCATGTGCACAGACCCCTGAAAGTCAGCACGCATTGGAACAGAGACACAAGTCTGTTGTAGGAGGGTCTTCTACCTATCTGTTGCTTTCATTGGTTAATTAGCAAAGAAAACTGCTTGGCCTAATAGGTCAGAGCATAGGTAGGCGGGGTAGACAGAAGTGAATTCTGGGAGGAAGAAAGCAGGGTCAGAGAGAACTGCCTGCCACGAAGCAGCCAGGTCAAACATGCTGAATCTTTCCCGGTAAACCACGACCTCGTGGTGGAGATACAGATAGAAAATGGGTTGAATAAATATGTAAGAGTTAGCCAATCAGAGGCTACAGCTAATGGGCCAGGCAGTGTTTAAAAGAATACAGTTTCCATGTAATTATTCTGGGGCTAAGCTAGCCGTGCGGGAGCCGGGAGGGACGAAAAGTAGGCCTGCTCACTTCATCACTCACTACACAAGTCTAAACCTACAAAACTGGATCCAGGGTGAGGTTTTCACCACATTGGAGCATGATTTTGAGTTTGCCCTCCCACCCCACCCCAGCCTCTGTAGATGATCTCTGGTAATTTTCTTAGAATATGGCCATGTGGCATTGCAAAAACATGAGCAAGTATTGAGTGAGGTTAAGAGTTCAATTCCATCCCATTTATATTTGAACATCTCCTAAAACATGAACATGGCAGTCTTAAGGCTAATATCTAAGAGCCTTCGTATGACAGAACTCAACTCCCAAACACCAGCCTTGGAGCCCTGTTTGTTTGCCAGCTGTGGTCATGACGGAGCTTTGTAGGAAGGAGAGGGAGGGAGTAGAAGCTAAGCAGAACTCAGTGTTAAGAAAACTTGGATTTGAAGCCAAATCATGGGTTTAATATTGTCCTCAGTTTTTGTTTGCAAGCTATAAAGTGATTATCATTTTCTATCTTAAGATGTGTTAATAATTAAAAGGGTGTTGATATTCAGTAAATATGATTGGTTCCCCTTTTAGACTGACTCAGGACAGAAGGACTCTGTATGACTAGAGCAGTTGCCTTCTTGTACTAACTGACCTCCATAGCAAATGGCATAAAAATATAGATTATATAGTCTTGTTTATGTATCCTAGGGTTTGGGGACATTTTTTAGAATTTTCCCAGGCTGGCCTTAAATTTCCTTGACTTAAAGGATTCTCCTGCTTTAGCCTCCAAGCAGGTGGAGCTACAATTGCATTGTACATCATGCTGATCTAAGACATTGATCATTGCCTGAGAGTGCTAGAGATTCCGTCCCTGCCCCTTGGGAAGAGCAAAATGACACACAACCACCTCAAAGGGGAGGTCAGAAGCTTGACAGAACTACTCTCTGCCTTTTGTGCAATAGACTTCTCTTTGTGTTAAGTGTTCTCGTTGTCCCTACCTCTCACCGTGCGCACAAATGTATCTGTCTTTAAGCCTCACTGTTGTACACGCTAATATCTCCTATTGGCAATCATAAAATCAAGTTACTTGATTCTATGTATGAAGGAATTCAGATATTGGGGTTGAAATGCTTGCTACAGGGGCTTGAGGTCCTGAGATCGAATCTCCTTTCTTATGTAAAAATCTAGGCATAACCACATTTGTACCTGTAACCCCAGCTATTAGGAGTGCAGGTCAGATTATTGGAGTATGCCAGCTGTCAGCCTCATTTCAGGCCACTAAAAGACCTTGTCTGAAGGAAGCAAGATGGTGAGCATCCAAAATTCTCTTCTGGCTTTTGTGTGCTTGCATGCCTATACCTGCACACAAACTTGTATGTATATATACACCACACACATAATACACACATGTACAACACATTCTTCCATGCATACACACAGATACATATTCAGATATCTTACTGAATATCTTACAAAATAAAGCATTTTAAGAGTTGAAGATAGGCGAGAACAACAAGGCACTTCCTCCATACTCGAGCTGTTAGCTGATCGTGTCTCTGCTTCGCCAGGAAACTGCTGAAGTTCCTGTGGGATCAAGTAGAATTTAATAAGAACATAATGGATGGAGAAGAGAAAACCTATGGTAGCTGTGAAGGCCCTGACGCCATGTATGTCAAATTAATATCTTCTGATGGCCATGAATTTATTGTAAAAAGAGAACATGCATTAACATCAGGAACAATAAAGGCCATGTTGAGTGGACCAGGTCAATTTGCCGAAAATGAAACCAATGAGGTCAATTTTAGAGAGATCCCTTCACATGTGCTCTCGAAAGTGTGCATGTACTTTACCTACAAGGTCTGCTACACTAACAGCTCCACCGAGATTCCTGAATTCCCAATTGCACCCGAAATTGCGCTGGAACTTCTCATGGCTGCGAACTTCCTAGATTGTTAAATAAAATAAATTATAATAAACGGTTAATTTTTTCAGTATTTAATACCTGTAGTTCAGTTAGTAATTTTTTCACATATAGCATGTTGCCTGTATGAATTCTAAAGTTAATTGCTGAGCAGATTCCTTCTGTCATTTGCATAGCAGAGTTGAAATTTGTTTGCTACATCAACAAATTAAGGGCGTTACAAGCCAAGAAATAAACAAATAATGCCAGTGTGTAGGTGGTTTGCTTTCTCCTTTGGATGTGACCTTTAAAATAATAAGTAATATAGCAAATCCTGGAATGTACGCATATTCTACAGGTAAATACAGGGGCTAAGTATTTGTTTTTAGTGTTTTTTTAAGAACCAGTTCTGATCTTAACAGCCACTGAACATTACTAGAGTTATGCAAATAATTACATGAGAAAAACATGTTTATAACTTAGCCAAACCTTGATTTTTTGTAACTCAAAGAATAAGAGTTGAAATTTCTTATGTGTTTTTTTATAAACTGCAGTATTGTTTAATTGCAACAAAAAAAAAGAGTTGAAGATATTCTAAGTTAATGCAAGAATAAAATGAGGCATAGATGGGCTGTTTGCCTATTCATGTAGAAGCTTCTCTTCTGCATATGAATGATTCCTGATGGTGAGGAGGATGAGCATTGAGTGCAAATCCTGGAGTCACCATCACACCAAATGTGTCAAGGAGATGGACATCCACTGTTCTTGTTCCCATCGGCCCCCAGAACCTGGAGAGAAGAGCCACAAGATGGAAGGAAAATAGGTCCTTGAATGACTGACAACAAAAAAGGCAGTCATCAAGAACAAGTCCATGAGAACTCTGCCTAAGCCGTTGAATTCTCAGCTTTCATATCACCGGAAGTGGCTTTTTTTTTTACTTTAATTTTTATATGCATACCTGTGTTGCCTTATGTGAGTGTCTGTGCACGCATGCCTGGTGCCAACCAAAGCCAGAGGAGAACATCAGTTTCTCTGAAACTGGATTCCAGGGGCCATCATGTGGGTGCTGGAGCTCAAACACAGGTCTTTTAGAAGAGCAGCCAGTGCTCTTAACTGGCGAGCTATCTCTCTGGTACCAAGTGTTTTCCTTTTTAGAAAATTAAGCTGTAAAAGTCCTTTTAAAGCCTATAAATATGCTTACAATAAATTAACGTTAAGTTGGGACATTCTATGTTCTGTTTTATGGAAACTATAAATCCACATAGAATTTAACTGCAGAAAAGCATTAGACCATTTAGCTGATATGCTGCTTAAAATTTATCTTTACACCTCAGAAATATGATTTTTTCAGCTTTACTTTAATAAGTATGATTTAAGCCAATTAAAATGAGTCAAATAAGATAGCCAGTAGGGAAGGTTTCCCAAAATCTAAGGTATAGTTTGATTGCCATATAATAATGAACCTTTCTTAGGAACAAGTGTGATTTGGTAACCATTGGAAATCTTTTCATTTCTCTTTGTATTAACTGGCTAATCAAACTTGTGAGTTTCTGATTGCTCCCCAGTGGGCATTTGGCAGAAGGTTATTGGAGATGCAAAGAGCCTCCTCAGCTCAATTCATAAGTTAGTGCCCTTGCACCGTTGTAAAAGCTTGTGTTTGGCACTGTTCAACTTTTAAAGCATTGTTTTAATTAAATATCGTCAATGCTTTTAACCTTTGGAAATCTTGAGCTTCTGACTGCAGTCTATCATAAGCCATCAGACTGGATTGAGGACTCTGAAGGCCAAGTGGCGCTAATCAGGTAGACTTCCATTTGGGAGATTGAACCACTGGCTTCATTCCACAGCTACAGTGGTCTCTTGGAAAGGGAGCTGTCATTTTCCAGTTGGCCCCAACATTAAGATCACCCTTACAAGAGCTAGAAGGAAAAGAATTTGAGAGAATCCCAGTTATTCTGGGACTATGATATTTGATCAGGTATCTTTAAAATATTAAGTTTCTGGGTTGACTTAATGCACATATATCAAGCGTTTATCATGTATCCCAGGAGAGCAGGTAGCCTCAAGGATTTAGCTTGCAGGAGATTCAATTCTCAGCCCTCACTTTAGAAGTTTCCTTTCTTCTACGCAACAAATCCAAAATTATTCATGCCTTGAATCTGCACCCGAAGGACTTGCAAAGATCTCATAAGAGCCATTAGTTTGGGCCAGGATCTCTTGGGAGTGCTTTGACAGGAATCAGGCTGGCATTTATTCCAAGGCTCTATGCAAAGCAAATTAAACATGTTGTGAACAGCCACCCATGGGAGGCCTGCTCCTGTCTTAACAGGAACAGAGGAAGAGTGTATTGGGGTGGGGGTGGGGGTATTATAGGGTAGGTGGGAGAAGGGGATCAGAGGAGAGGAGGGAGGGGAAACTGCAGTCAGGGTGTAAGATAAGTAAGTAACTAATAATTTTATTTTAAAAATGTCATGAGCATTTTTAGTACTTTTAACAGAAACAGATGAAAGAATGATCATATTTGAGATAGCAAGAATTCGGAGACCTTTGTAACTAGTCACACATGCAAGGCAACGGATGACTTAGAACAAACCCTCAATGTTACAGAAGCAAGCCATCAGGCAAGCAGGCCTGGAAGAATGGCACGTGTGCCTTGGTGAGCCTGCTCTGTGCTCTCAATACTCGTCAGTGGAGGCTGGGCTGAACTAACTGTTTCCGAAAAATGATCTGGGGCAAAGTATTTTATTCCCCAGAGCTTTTCTCCTTCTGCTGATAGACCTCTATTGTTGGTGAGTGGATTCTGGCTCTCTGAGAAGGTGGGACAAAACAGTGCATGTAAGTCCCTAGCAAAGCAGTGCGTGCACCAAGTTAGGGTCTCCTTTTGAAGGCTTCCACTAGGTGTTCACTTGAATAAATAATAAATTGACATAGTATGATGTTACCAGCTGAGGGATAGATCTTCAAAGGGCCAAAAAGTCGGTTCCTTCTTGCAGGGCAGGATGAAAATAACAAAGAACTCCTTATTGGTGGAAAATGTTTATTCAGTTCAAAGAATATCTTACTCTCTCTCTCTCTCTCTCTCTCTCTGTGTGTGTGTGTGTGTGTGTGTGTGTGTGTGTGTATGTGTGTGTGTCTCCCTCCACTTTCCACAGGCAAGGATCAATGAGCAAGAAAGCTATTCACATCCAATACCAAGCCTTAAGAACAAAAATTATATACAGAAGAAGTAACTTATGCAGAAGTACTACTACAAAAGCTGTTACAAATCATCTGAGTAGATTTATGAATTTTAATTTTTTTCCATAAAGTGAAGTAAATTACTTTTCACCGGTTTCACTAACTGTCGTGTTGCAGTACTAAAACCCAATCCTAAAGTCAGAAAGGTGTCTTAATAAAGGTGATCTTTGCTATAGTAGAGCTCCATCTTGGTCAGCGTGTCCTAGCCCACATTATTGGACCATCACCTCAATGAGCATCAGCGTTAGGCTCCTCCTGCTCTTCTCACAGCTCCCAAGCACATGGTGCTCAGAATCATTTCCTGCATCCCCGAAATATCTTCCATCTTTGCAGTTAGCACTTAGTTTCTTTCTTTAACCTACTTAGAAAACCTTTTCCCTCTACTAACAGATTGTGGGATAGTATTTGCTGATTTATCTCAGTTTCTGAGATCCTGGGGACCTGCTGGATGGAACAGGCAGAGCTATCTGTAGCACAATTAATAAAATCCCCGAGACAGATACTGGGATTCAACATGAAGGTCAGAAAAGCAAAGCAGCCAACCACTGACTCTTATCTCTATCTCAGACCAAAATGACCATCCTGCCTTCAGGAATCTCAGAATGAGACTATGTCTGAGAGCTATTTCCTCCTGTCTTATAGTCCTCTCTTGTGCTGGGATTAAAGGTGTGCACCGTGTAGCTACTGGGATTAAAGGTGTGTGTCACCACTGCCTGATCTGTATGGCTGACCAGTGTGGCTGTTTTACTCTCTGAACTTTAGGTGGGCTTTATTTATTAAAATACAAATGAAATATCACTACAACTATCTGTAATACCTGATTTACCAGCATTTACTTACTGAAAAACCTACTTCACTTCTAAGTGAAAAGAAGCTTGTGAAAAATAGGAAAATGAGCTTCTTACAGGTCATCAAACAGAGCACCAAATAGAGCAGGAGAGATGGTTCAGTGACTTAGAGCACACACGCTCTTGCAGAGGACCTTAGTTCAGTTCCCAGCACCGAAATCAGGAGGCTTACAACTGCCTGTAACTCTAGCTCCAGAGAATCTCAGATCCTCTTCTAGCCTTGGCAAGTGCCTGCACTTCTCACCTGCACATAGTCACCTCCAAACTCAAACACAAACACACAACACAAATTAACAATAATAATAATAATTAATTTAAAATGTATTTTTACCAAGAAAGTGCCAAATGTTTTGTTTCTTCCTTTTTCCCTAGTAAATAAACTGAGACAACTTCAAATATCATTATTAAAATTAATTTGTGAATCACAGGTGACTCCAGACAATGATTTCCATGATTATGTTGAGATGGTAATGAAGATAAGAAGGAAGTAAAGAGGAAAGGGGAAGAAAGGAAAGAAGGAAGGGAGGGAGGGTGGGAGGATAAGCAGGAAGTCCACCACAAAGCTCTTTGCTGGAGAACTGGATCCCACTGTTGAGTGCGACCATCTCATGCTTCTATGATCTCCTGCCAAGCATAAACTACATGAAAAACACAAAGTCTGCTGCTAAGATGGGGACACTACTATTTATTTTTATATCACTGGGCATTGTTAAGCAAGATGCAATTAATTTACTGGAGTTTTAGGTAGGAGTCCATGCCAAATTTTGCACTGAATCTATTAAGAAATAAAGCATGAATTTCACAAAGGAACCGTGTACTTTCTGCCCTTTCTGCACTGTTTTGTAACTGAGGTTAACTTAGCTTATAAATAATGAGGCAATGTCCGGAAAGGAAAAACTGTGTCATGCAGATGATTAAGGCAAAATACTGGCTCAGACTCACAAAGTGATATCATTTTGGAAAAATAAAAAGCCAAATAAATTTGCATGGTGAAGTGTCATCCTGTGTCCTTTCCAATAACACAAGTTAGATTTTTCTATTAACCGAGTTTTAATAAAATTTTATCACATTGTCATTATTAAAATATCTCATTGCTATAATTAAATACCAAATAATCATTATTATAAAATAGCAACCTAGTATTAAGTATAGTACATATATTGCTCACGGCTTAATATAAATATCATAC